CAACTCTGCTGACTGGGGTGGTCTGGCCCAATGCCGCGTTCCTGTGGACCTTGTTTTTTGTGACTCTGGGCTATAAAGTTTGTGTTTGTCATTCCTGGATGCAAAAGAAACAGCAGTTTTTTTGAAATTGAACCTGGCATCTCACCAAAGATGACAGACTGACAACAAAAGCAAACATTTTGAAGATACGACGATAAAGTGGAACCGCTGTGAAAAGCATCCGGATAAAAAGCCGAATAATCGAGACTGGCGGAGAAACCAGAGCTGGGATGAACTGAACTCCCAAGCCCAGAGGGAGGAGTGTTTTGGTGCAGCCATGTCTGAACCTTCCTCCTCCTTCTCGCTTCTCTAAATCAATTCTTATGTTTCTTTGGTGTATCCACCTACTCTATCTTTCCATCAGTCAGTGTCTATCCGTCTCATTTTAATTTCCCAACCTGCTTCCCTATTTCACGCCTCCGGTCCTGTCTGCTTTAACTTCCATGCACAAGGAGAAGACACCTCCGCACACACACTCAGACTTGCACTGACGGTCTCAACTGACCAAGCATTTAGTGGAACCTCGAATCGTGCTGTCTTGGCTGCAGACGTTCTGGCTCTCCCTCCATCCTTTTTTCTGCATTTGCTTTCACACAGCGATGGCGCAGGCTGACCGTTTATCTAACGAGTCAACCTGCATGAGTGCAACGCAAGCGTTTCGCAGTTCGGTCAGGGACACATTTAGCCAGCCCGACACCAATTGTTGAGAGACATTCTTTTTCCAATCCTTTTCTTACTCCTCCTCCTTCCTCCATCAATCATCACCGCGGTTTTTGCCTAGCCACTTCTTTGTGGTGTCCTCTTGCTGGTTTGTAACAAACAAATAATCCAAACACCACCTCGATCGTGCCTTCCAGCAAGATGCTGGCTCCTCCATCATCAGTCATCTTGTAGAGGACTAACCCCTTGCTTCACTGTCCAAAACTGTCTACCAAACTTCTTGCAGAGACTTGGCAAATCTGACCAAACTTCAAACCTGACCTTGCAGGGTAACTCTCAGGTCTTCCAGACGAATATCCGCTGAGTTAGGAAGAGGAAGACTTTACTCTGTCAGGGAGAAAACTGAGTTTCTGGTCCTTTTTTGACTTTTTTTAACACCTTGTGTACTAATTCCGTGTGCTGTTTATCCCCCAATATTGCTCTTGGCTGACAGCTATAGGGATAGTCACTTTAAAGAAGTTATCGGCTGGTTGGACAAAAATTGCTCGCTATAAACTGCTGACAAAAACAGCATGGTGCCCAGGTGTATGTCAAAGATGTTTTCTAACGGCACCTTTTTCAGTATTTCATTATTTTGATAATACTTTTGAATGCTGGACTTTTACCTGTATGACAGCAGTTTTCCTCTTATTTTTTACCTCGCTTTTACGCAACCCTTACAGTAGATGGTCCAGAAAAGAAACTTGACATTGCACAGTTGAAGGCTACTTTTTTAATGTCCATACCAAATTATTTAGTGTTATTCTTTGTTTTTTAAATCCCTCACTTTTCCTACGTTATGTGTGCCATGGCAACTGCTAATGGTAAGTTTTAGGGTTAGGCAGGCTAAGGGCAAACATTACAGTTAATTCGGTTAATTCGCAGGTGTGTGCAACCAGAACTTGAAACGTTAGAACCACTTCACCCATCCACCCACCCTCCCGACTCCGTCACCCGTTACTTTTCAGCCTCTCTATCTAGGGATACACTGCTTCCTGGTATTGGGGGGGGACCACCTGAGGACCAAACACTGACATTTCGCGCTCTCGCGATGTTAATTACTCCTAAAAGAGATTATTGGTTGCTGTCCCCTTTCTGTAAGAAGTGGTTCATCTTTCCACCAGTAATGGCGTACACAGCTGAAATCCTCGATATGGTAGAAAAGGTTTACAACTTGACAATTGGGGGGAAATCTGTTTACGATTCTTTGCTGGCTTTTCTCTGACCACTGACATGAGGAGCTGTAAAATTGCTAATATACAGTAGATCCACCCACCTTTTTACAGGTATCAGCTACATGTGATAGGAACTTAACTAGTAAACCACTTCCAGTATACTAATTCAAGTTAAGCTTGAATTTGCAAGCTGTTATATTGAGACCTGAAGATTAGTCCAACTTAACGGATTAGGTTTGATCAACAGAAAAACTAATCAACTGTCTTTGCAGTTTTTTTTTTTTTTAAAGAAGATTGCTTTTTCAACCATTGGCCTGGCTAGACTAATCATCAGCTGCTCCAGGAAATGGGAGCTGGTAAAATGCTAATATAACGCCCACTGTAAGGTAGCTTGGACTTTATACTCAGCTCTTGATGCAGCAACTCGACTCAAAGTCCATACTTTAACCTTGTTGACTCTTCTTAATTTTAATAGACCAGTAGGCAGACCTGCTCAATAAAAGATCACTTAAGAACGACCTGAAGTTATTCCCTCCCCATGAGCAGCCAGATCACTGTCACGACTTCCTGTGCTCCCCCATCTTCTCTCCTTCATTTCCTCCTCCTTTCCATCCAGTGGCTCCCTGTGGCCCTGCTAATCTGCTCGTAAAGTTCGGTTATACGGGCAAGAGTAAACGGAGGTTTTTAAATCATCCGCTCTCATTTCTACGGGTGGGAAATTCGTTCACAGGCACTCGCACTATCGAGGTCCCTCAGAAATCAGATGACTGCCTTAGTTCTTTTACTGCTCACCTGAAGGGCACAACCCCCCATACGTGACGGGTCACTGTAATGGCCTCAGTGTGCCTTCTAAGCAAGCGAAAGGGGCTTAGCGCCACCACATTCATTGGAGCGTTTTTTAAGGAGCAAAGGATGTTACGGGCAAGGCTGAGTACATCTGAGTAACTTTCCAGGAAGAGCTGAGCTTACTGCACTATTTACTGAGATATCTGTGTAATCAAAGCGGGACCAAGGATATGTTATGTATGCTGTGATGTAACTGTATAGCCACTTATATTTTAGCTAAAAAATATCTGCCACCCGGCCTGCTTTATTCTTTTTCTTAATTTTGCTTTAGCTACATATAAGGGCGCTTTCTTCCTGCTTGCACTGAATGTTCATCAGTAAGATGTTTGTATTTTGACTGTGGCGTACGCACACTTATTTAAATGGTAAATTGCCTGTTTCACATGTTGTCAGCCCTTAACCCCCATTCCACATCCCAGTGAACTAACTCATTCATACACATTCCACCATTTGGCGGTTCAGTATCGTTGCTCAATGATACCAGGAGCCGGGGATTCGAACCACACTTCCGATTAGGGGACAACACCGCTCTGCCTCTGCAACCACAGCCGCCATCGGTTCACGGGTCAGAATATTTTCCTATTTATTTTCCTAACATGCATCCCTCATTGACCCAATCCCTACACTAAGAGCATATGCACTAAACCTTCACAGACTTAGCTGACGTCACGGGCGGCTGTTGTGCAGAGACAGAGCGGGTTGTCCCCTAATCGGAAGGTTGTTGGTTCAATCCCCGGCTCCTGTATCATTGAGCAAGATACTGAACCCCAAATGTGGAATGTGTATGAATGAGTTAGTTCACTGAGTGAATGTGTGTGAAAGGGTGACAGACATGTGAAACAGGTCAATTTACCATTTAAATAAGGTGTGTGCGTACGCACAGTCAAAATACAACATCTTCACTGATGAACATTCAGTGCAAGCAGGAAGAAATGCGCCCTTTATGTAGCTAAGCAAAATTAAAAAAAGAATAAGCAGGCCGGGTGGCAGATATTTTTTAGGCTAAAATATACAGTGCAGTACAGTTACATCACAGCATACATAACATATCCTTTGGTCCCCTTTGATTACACAGATATCTCAGTAAATATGCATAGCTCAGCTCTTCCTGGAAAGTGTACTCAGATGTACTCAGCCTTGCCTAACATCCTTAAAACCTCCAAAATTGTATACCCCTTTCCTTCTTAGAGGCACACTGACATTACAGTACCCTCACTATGTGTGCCCTTCAGTGAGCAGTAAACTAAGCAGTTCATCTGATTAGGACTGCGTAGTGCAGTCTGTGAAATTTCCCCAGCCCTGTAAAGATAGAGCGGAGATTTAAAACCTCGTTACTTTGCCTATAAAGAAACTTTACGAGCAATTAGCAGGCCATGGAGGCCATGGATGGAAGGAAGAAATGAAGGAGAGAAGATGGATCACAGGAAGTGCTACAGGATCTGCTGCTCATGGAGGATAATTCAGTCTTCTTAAGTGATCTTTATGAGCAGTCTGCCTACTGGTCTATTAAAATTAAGAAAGTCAAGCAATACATATGGACTTTAGTCAGTTCTGCATCAAAGTAATATAAAGTCAAGCTACCTTACAGCTTATATTACATTTTACAGCTCCCATTTTGGAGCAGCTGATGATAGTCTAGCCATCAATGGTTGAAAAAGCAACTTCTTTAAAAAAAAAAAAAACTGCAAAACAGTTGATTATTTTTCTGTTGATCAACTAATCCGTTAATTGACTAATCTCAGGTCTCAATATAACAGGCCTGCATTCAAGTATTAATAGTATACTGGAAGTGTTTACTAGTTAAGTTCCTATCACATGTAGTGATACCTGTAAAAATGTGGGTGATCTACTTTATATTAGCATTTTACAGCTCTCATGTTCAGTGTCAGAGAAAACCAGCAAGAATTAAACAGATTCCCCCAATTGGTCAATGAAACCCTTTTCTACCATATCGAGGATTTCAGCTGTGTACTCATTACTGGTGGAAGAACCACTTCTTACAAAAGGGACAGCAACCAAGTATTCTTAGGAATTACATCCATATTGTCCAATGTCAGGGCTCAGTGCCAATACAGGAAGCAGTGTATCCCTTATGTAGAGAGGTGAAAAGTA